AATGGCACAGAAAGCTACCCATCTGGTGCCCCACACAGCACTTGTTTTACATTGGCTCCAAAGCACCATGGTGCACCTGCCCAACAAACTTTGTCTCCATTTGCTGTGACTGCCGGCAAACTCAGCGTTGCTCCCGGTTCAAAACTAAAGCTTATGGTGACATCAACTACTGGAATACCTTTCAAGGGTTTTGTACTGCAAGCACGAAAGTCAGAAGATAGTGACTCTGCAATTGGCGAGTTCACTGCACTGCCAAACCTCACCAAGGCTTTCACCTGTGCAGGAGGCTATCAGGTGAGTATATTCATGCTTCTGTGATGAATATTTAACCTTCATGAATACAAATATAGAACATCAAAATTGCATCTACTGTGAAGAAAACAGAAATTAATTTAAATAACCTTTGTCAGATATTTTGGTATGTTGTGCCTTGTAGTCTGGTAAACATTAACTGACATATTGCCTTCATCAGCAGGGTGATCAAATAGATCATGGAGGCAATAAGCATTTCTGAAATGTTTGTCAGTATCAGACTGGATGGTGCAATATCCCAGAAGACAGCCATCTTCAACATATTTATCAACTTAGATTCTTGGTTCTATTGTCTAACTGCATTTGGTACCCTAACCAATACATGATGTTCACTGTAGGGTTGTAAGCATTTCTGATACTGTAACCAGAACTGGGTGTGTTAAGTTTTTTGGTGTCATATCTGGTTCAGTCTGATGGCCTGTATAAAGTGGAAACATCTTAGAAAGAAGAAGAAGAAGACCTGGGACAGACTGCAGAGAGCTAATTGCATTTCATATCCTGACCAGTACATGGTGCGGTATCCTATTTGGTACAGGTTATGGATGGACTGCAGAGTTCTGTGTAATTTGGTACTGTAGCTGGTGCTAGGTGTTGGTAGTCACATGCTAAATTATGATAATTTTAGCACATGAAAATTTCTCTGCACAGTGGAATATAAATTCTGTACACAAAGTAGTGACACTGACTACTTCAGAGTGATTTGTGAACTGAAGTTCAAACTTACTCCCAGTAATCAGATTTAAATAAACTTTTGATCAAATTCAGATGCAGTTTCAATGTACAAGCAATAAAAATTAATGAATGTGCCACAGTCTGCTATTTGTAGGTAATCTGTGACCTATTTAAAGAAGATACTAAATAATGCACACATTGATGTGCAACACAAGTTTACTAAATAAATAAAACAAACACAATTTATGCTGCTTTCAGAATTCTCAGAATACTGTTACACATGCAGATCCATCAGAACGAGACAGCCTGGAGTTTGAGTGGGAAGCGCCTGACTTCTATGAGGGTTCCATAATATTTGTGTAAGTGGAATACATCTGTAGCATATATTTAAATTATGTAATTGTTTTGGGGACTGAATGAACACAACCTTCTACAGAACTCTGTTAGTTTGGTACTATTATGGACAATAATATAAGACACTAATTAACCAACTTTTATTAAATTTGTTAAGAACATGATAACATGGAAGTCCATTTAAGCTTGTTGAGATTTGTGTTCTCATGGCAGTGATTATGTAGATAAGTCATTAGGGATATTGCACCATGTAATCTTGTAGAAGTTGATCAACATTTCTATGAGGACCTCTGAAATGGTGGTCAACTTCTGCAAGACTATGTAGTGCAAGGTTTCATCTAAATTTGATTTATTTATTGTCATTAAGAGTACCAATTGTCAGCCATGCTGATATTAGCACCATTATAGGGTTGTAATATTCTGCGTGATGATAACTAACTTTGTAGATGAGAGTCCTTATTGCAGATCTGATAGTTGCTTACCTGATCAAGAAATTTTCTTCCTTTTATGAAACCCAAATATATTATTGGGTTTACAGAAGCCCCAAAATTGAGCCACATGAATCTGATCACACCATCACACCCTGCTTCTTTGACATCAACTTTAATATTTGACCATCTATCTATACCTTGGTGTACCAAGTGATATGTTTCTCTCATGTTTTCTAACTAATATTTTGTATACATTTTTAAACTTCCATGTGGTTGCTACATTTCTGATGCTTCACTCTACTTGCTCACTTTAATAATTTTTTATTAAGACAACAAATTATGATGCTCATTCTTACAAATGTTTGCCATCCTTTTCATTTCAAACATTTTGCTCAGTACCTTGTTCTCATACAACCTTAATTTATGTTCTTCCTTTAGAGTGTGAGACACAAGTTTGACAACATTAATAAACCAAAGGCATTTTAACATTTGTGCATTTTGATCTTCAGATTTTAGATACAAGATTCTGAACTGAATGGTAGCAGGTATTATCCTAATGTAGTGTGCTTTTCATTGCTTTATGATGCGGTATAGTTTCATTACTGTTGTTCTCAAATAATGCATTACATTTGCATACCTCTAAACTGTTAATGCGAGAATTAGAAGTCTAGCTGGCAACCCTGTAGTATGGCTACTATATGGTAAAGTTTAATGTATGACTTTAAACTCAATAAATACACTTGTTGCAGAATAAGGGATCTGAAGCCATTAAATTTTATTGAATTAAGAAATTTTTTTGAAATTTTCCCATAATATAGTGTAAAAAGATTTTTAAACTACAAAATCATAAGATTAAAACTATATGTTGTATACACAAAAAATGTATCCTTATATAATAACAATAAGGTTGGACAAGGCACAATATATGGAAAAACTGAGGGGTTCATGAGATCACCGTACAAGGCCAAATATAAGCGCCAAGAAGTATCTTAAACTCATAGTAAAAGATTCAGCAATTACCCCCTGCAAATGCAGAAAATACAATACACAATAAGAATCCATAGAACATATAAGAATTGGGTGCAGTGGTCTAACACAAAGAATATATACAAAAGAATGATGATGTAGCTAATCAAATCCATCAATTTGAGTGTGAAAACATATTTTAAAGAATTAGATATACCGTGGTAAAAATATGTTCTTGAAACAGTATTAAATATCAAAGACATCACCGCCTATAAACCCATCATACACAGCAGACCACATGTTACACTTTTAGAGAAGAGAAGGAAAACTTTATACTTAATTGACATCTCAGTACCAAATACACTTAATATACAAAAAAAGAAAAAAAGAAAAGATGATTGTGATGCAAGTCATCATTTCTTTGACTTGAGTCATCTTCCAGCATAGAATATCTATAGTTAAATACAAACATACACATTCAGTTACAGAAGTCAGACAACTGCCGTCTGCAGATTTTTAATTATTTATAACTGGAATATGCATGTGCAATAGTTTGACCGAGATATGTTAATTATATTTAATTATCAGTATAAAATTTATAAAATAAGCATGCAATAACAGTAATAATGAAAACAATATTGATAACAAGAGTAAGTTGTTGTTGTCATTGTCATTCATATTATATAGTGTGGCGTGTTGGTAACATTGTAATTCTTAATGTGTAGTGCTACTGTGGTGCAAGACTTCTCCACTTTCTGGGAAGGTGTGAAGTCTGCGCCTATAAGTGTTGCAAAACGTGCAGTGGACAACAGTTCACAGTCAACAGGGATCTCAACCACAAGACAACCGCTTGTTACAACTCTCAGGTCAACTGTCACTCCGCCTTCAGTTCCTACAACTCCGCCAAGAAGGGTATGCAAATCATGTTTCATAAACTTACACAGTACACGGTACAATTAAAGACACTTTCCTGTCAGAGGTAATTATTTTTTGTAATTTTGGACTGTGTCTTTAAGAGTCTTACAAAATTATTCTGTGGATTTCTAGTTTATCAGCAATTTGGTTTCTTTCTAAAGACATTTTCAGATATTGGAAATCCAAAAATATTATCACATGTGATATTGGGAGTGTTGCCTCTGTGCCTTAGCTCCACACCATACGACCTTCTTTGTTACAAACATATTTAACTACAGTAACTTAATTCTGTGGTTTCCAGTGTGGAAGATCATTATACCATTTGAAAGTGCTTAGTGTGTTTGAGAATTGCTTTGTAAGATAGTAAACCAAATTATTCACATTTTTTTAAGCAGAATAAGTTTGACAGTTGTGTGTTAATATCTTCAGGGAATGCTTTACCTGTCCTAACCCATCATTCATATGACTTGCCTTATGATACTGATGAAGAATATTAGACCTATAATCTAGTATTTTAAAATTAACAGGGAAATTGATTTACAAACAGAAACAAACCCAGAATAAGCTTCAAACAGTAATATGTAACATTCCAAGAATCCTGACAGAAGAGTTGCAGATCCACACCTCTTTATATCTGTTTGATCAGGTATAGACTCTTTAGTGATGGAAGTGTTTTCCAGACACTTTCAGTAACTAGCGTACAGTACACAAACTCACTTTAGTTTGAATACATTTGCCAGGCTGGTCACAGATTGGGAATTTTTTAAGATGAACAATCTTTGAACTTTATTTAGCGTCATTAAATAATTTAAACAATAAAGAGTATTCTTATGTAAATATAATGTAAGATTGTGGATATTCTGACAGTAACCAGTTATGGACTATACGTATAATTCACTGTATCTTTGTTTCTTGCATAGGCGTCTGTTGTGACAGATCCCATCTATAATGGTTGTGGCACAGAGAAGACATGTTTTGGATTTCCGGGTGGCTGTGTGGAAACAAAGTCTTGCAGAGCGGTGGTATCTTGCTTGGTTCAAGGAGACAGATATGAGTTTGATATGAAAGCAAGCAATAGTGCTTATGTTGCAGTGGGTCTCTCCCAAGATGTGAATATGGTAAGAATATGTATTAATTTCTATATATTATCTTCATTAACTGCTTCATCTATGCTCCAGCCATTTGCTAACCCAGCCATTCATAAAGTATTTATATGAATTGTCCCTAGCTTATCCTGACTCTTTTGCTGGTAAAACACCAGCATGGTGTCTGAGAACTGATATCCTGTCTATCCTACATTGTACAGTACGTACATATGACAGTCTATAAATCTGTTTAACACTAGCATGTCTGAATATGTTACTGTATTTAAAAAATAAAATAATAAGTTTATGTGGTATTAAAATTCAACAAATGTTTCCATCACCACAGTGAACATATGCAAATTAAATATTACTTATGAGGCCATATAAAATAATTTGTCAGAGAGCACTCATATTGTCTTGTCAGTAGGTCTACATAACAGAAGGAAAAAGTAATCAATTCAACTTAGCTAATGATACTTCTGAAAAAATTTAACATTCACTACAAACTATTTAGGTATCAAAAGGATATTAAACTGTAAAAATATGACTGCTAATAAAATATTAATTTTTCTGACTGTAGCAAAAATTTACAGACAAGCATAAACTGTGCTGCTGACTGTTAGCAGCCCACAGCCCATAACTAGGATAAAACTGCTTTATAAATGAGAAGACATGTGCACAATCTGTAAAAAGTAAAGCTGTCATGCTACACACCTATGCAGGTGCTTGGAGGGAAGTGGAGGTATAGCTCCTACTCTTTCTTGACCTTGGCACTAAACGGGGGTGAGCGGTCAGCATCACACCCCAGCCGCACATTACCTCCAGGAAAGGACCCCGGTACCCATTGGATAAGAGGCTGGGTGGGCCCCAGGGCTGGTCTGGATGCAGAGGCTAGAGGAAAAATCCTCTGTCCCCGTTGGGGATCAAACCCCAGTCGTCCAGCCCATAGCTAGTCACTATACTGACTGAGTTATCCCTGCTTCGTGCACAATGTATAGATTGTGAATTTTATTAATCTATGGTACAGCCTTAGTGTTCTTTGCCTTGGTATGTTATAGAACAAGCCCTTTTTCCACATGTGAGGATGTGTTGTTTCTCGCATGGTATGTGATACAAGCAGTGTATAGTTTACTTCAGAATTGTGCCTTATGTTCAGCAGTTTCTCAGATATGTCTATAAATGGCTTTGTTACTGAACTCTTCAATTAAGAAGAGATCCCGTGCCGTAGTATGCGTGCCTCAGTGCACCATGAACCGTGATAAAGTGCCCTTGTAAGGTATGTCGCTGTCACATTCTTGAGGATCATAAGGTAATTTTCCACCAAGTGATCCCAAATCTGTTCAAGACTGTGTTTGAGTACCAATGTTATTTCTTAAGTAAATAGTTTCATGGCTGTCTGTAGGGAGAGTATTATCAGGTTCCCTATGTTGTACATGGCCCTGAGGGCTACAGGTGCCCTCACCTTCATGTGTTACTTGAAGGTCTTTCTGGTTTCCTGCAGAGTGACATTCAGGTACTAAAACAGTTGGCATTCTATGGCCATCACAGGAAATGAAGTCTGTTTCTTTGAGTTTTCCTCATTTCCTAACGACCATGTTGACAATTTTCTTTTGTTGATGTGAAATAATTTTTGGGGGAAAAGTTATGGAGGTCATTGAAGGAATCATGGAGCTCATGCTTTATGAACATCAATTCTGACCCCTGCAATGCTCCATACTGTGACCCATGGATTCGTGAACCTTTTAGCCACATCAGCCTTAACTACTGCACTGCTCCATTCTCTCACCAAATGATTTATATATCCCTTAGTCATACCTACCCTAATGTTCTGTTTTCAGACGTAAGGATTCATATACCATTTAGCTACGTCCACCCTGACTTCTGAACTGCTTCACTTTCCTTGTAGTATTGATATTTCACATCTGCTTTTATTTTCACATATCCTGTTATTTTTCTTATATTTTGAGTATTGCAGAGACTGATAAGTCAGATATACTTTGTCTTATTTGTTATCTTTATGTGCTTTCAGGGTGATGACAGTGTTGTGGAATGTGTACATGATGGCACAAGTGGTAACAGTGTAAATGCTTATATGTCTTGGAACTCTGGAAAAGAAAACAGACGACTGAAGGTAAGAAATGGACAAATGCTGTTTGTTTACTGAGTTTTGTAGTACACATATAAATGGTTCCTCCCATTTTACCTTGGTTATTGTGGGATGGAGGTCTATGTTAGTACAGTATATATTTTTATATGAATCAGACTTTATATTATTTTATTTTTATACCACTTACTACAGAATGTTTTTATTTCTGGAGCTGTCTCCATTTCATACAACGTTTCTCATATTTTCCTCGCCTTTATGCAATTAAATGCTTTATATTCTGTTTGTTGAGTCAACTGATAATATATTTGTATTTACCCATTTAATATTCATGTTTGCTGTTCTAGGTTCAAGATGGAATTTCTCTTAAAAATTCTTCATTTGTGGATGGAACAATTTACTGCAAATTCATGAGAGATCCTATTACAAATGTTGAAAATACAGAGTTTAATTTGGCTAAGGACAAGTACCATTTGTTGGTAGCAGCAGGATCTAAGGTTCATGGTGAGATTTAACACAATAAGGTGTACCATCTTAGCATTACATCCTACGTAAATTGTGGTCATACATGCCTCTGGAAATCACATATGTACTGGTTGAAGTCGATTGGTCCAGAGCCATATCATTCCTAGAAATCAGGTCAGGCGTTCTGTTTTTGGCCCAGTAGCAAGCTGACATGAACCTGATTATGAAATTTTTGGTTCTGTGAATGCTGGGAATTCTTTGATCAATTAAATATATATTGATGTTTCAAGAAAACCATACACCATGCATTTAATTTATAATGTTAATGTATCTATAAATGTAGAATACGTGTACAGAATGTTTGTATTTCAGGTGGCAATGTGGGATATCATGATGTAGGACGTGCAGCAGCTGAAGTCAGTCAGTCCTTGGCTGATGTCAGCATAGCATCTGTATCTTCCAACTTGCTACTCAGACTTCATGGGGCATTCATGATTGGAGCTTGGATTGGTGCTGCAGGAATTGGAATTTTGCTGGCGCGTTACTTCAAGCAGACCTGGGTTGGAAGCCAGCTTTGTGGAAAAGATCAGTGGTTTGCTGTAAGTTGTTCGTTGTAGTATGAGGTCCAGACGTTGGGAACATTTGATTCTAGTGTTGATGCCTGTCTGTTTTTTCTGTCTTCAGAAACTTTATTTTTATATCCAGTTGAATTTGTTTAGATTTGACACACTTAGGCTTTTTGTGTGATATTCTTATCTATATATTTTTGATTTTATATATTTGTGTTTTGGTGGAATTTTCACATTAATTATTAAGTTTATTATGTGCTCCCTACAAATAGCAGATGGATCTATTCATAAGAAATCAACAGTGACATACTGTTTTTATTAACAATTTTTTGTATGGATTTCTGAATGAAGATTTTCATGACCATATTCTTTGCAATGACATCAGAGGAGTGATTTCGTTTCAAAACGCATTTTGCATGATGTTGTACCACATAGTCTGGTAAAAGTGTGCCAACATTTCAGATACGCTTGCTGCCTCCATCATCAAAGTGATGAAGCAGCAAGCCCCTCTGAAACATCAGTAAACTTCTACCAGAGTACATGGTGCAACAACCTAGAAGACAGCCTGCTTCATATTTGGTGCTGTGAAAACATCAAATCTCACTTAATTCACGTATGTTTATTATGAAGCAGAATGTGAATTTTGTATTTATCACAAATAAAAGAAGATAGTATACCATATGTAAGTGATCTTTATCAGTGACTTATTAACCAGTTAGGTTTCCAGTTGGTTCGTGACACATGTCTCCGCACCAGTTAATTGGGCTGCTAGCTTGTCGAACTTAGTGTTGATGTAGTACAATGAACAACAAGGACAAGCCATTAGCTGTTAAAAGGAGTAATATTAGTGGTTTTTTTTTGCTTTTTATTGTTTACAGCTGTCAGTGACATAACATACAAGAATGTTTTTGGGAGTTTTACATGAAATTCATCGCATTCCATTACTGTGAACAACTTAGTACCTACCTATTAGTTCTCTGATACAAAGTTTTTAGTTTCTCAGTTGGTCAGGAAATGTTTTTCATCTGTAGTGTAGCATCCTGGTGTGTTATGTTGAATTCTTAGTTTTTATGCCCATCACTTTTCACACACTCTGTTCATTTGAATAACATGTTTCAAACCAATGTGGCCATCATTGGTTTCAATTCCCTGCTTCTGTGTCATTGCAGTAAGAATCTTCTCCCCGATGTCCAGAAATAATAACTTTATATTAACACATTTATAACTGTGTTAATTCATTTAAAAGTTAAATTGCTAAAATGATTAACAAAATGTTTTTCATTGTTTTTATCACAGCCTTGTGAGGATGAGTGTATTTCCTCTGAGTTGTGTGTGTTATGGTACGTTGTTGTGAAATGATGGGTGTATTAATGGCCACATTAGTTCGAAACATTTTGTTCAAGCGAACAGACAGTGAACAGAGTGTGTGAAAAGTGACAGGCAAAAAAAACCAAGAAATGGTTTTCATTTATGGAACAAGGAATATCACCACATTGAAAGAGCCTACCATTTGAACCAACTCTCAGGCAGTTAATTCTAGTCCACATCTTCACATTGAATGCTGTGGTCAGATGTCTACCTGGAGACAACTATCCTGACTGAGATTTGTTGTCGATTTAGCTACTTCCAAACAAATGCTGGTACAATACATAAAATATGCCGTGGTCACTTCCTTTCATATTTTTCCAAATCATTGTTCACTTATCCCAGCATTTTTCAGCAGATTACCACAGCCTCTTTCTTTGGGCAGCTTTGGTTTAAATTCAAGTCTAACCATTTTTCAATTGCAAATGTTTGTATAAGGAGTGTGTGTGTGTGTGTTCTGTGTGCTAACACTTGTGCATGTGCATATGTGTTAATTTGTTTTCAGCTTCAGCAAGGGTGCTAATTTGTCCATAACGTACCTCTTGACCATAACCCCTAATATTTTGATCAAGGAATTTATAGCAAAAATCAGCCAAGTCACATTTCACTATTTCATTTCCACAATTGAAATACTTCTTTGTTTATTTGAACAACATACTAGCCAGATCCTTGATTCTGGATATTGGACCTTCTGCCATATCACAGCTAAGTAACATAAACTACCCATTGGTTATGCATAGATTCAATTGGATTTGAGGGAGAAGATTTTCACATTTTGTAGAAAATATCACTGCATGTCAGCGAGCTTCCAGCACTTTGGTTTCCAAGTTCAAGTACAGATATTAGCAGGTCACAGACACTATATGCCATCAAATTTATACTTGTATCAAATTTAGTGAACAAAATCTAAATAACATAACTGCACTTATTGCAAGTATTTTAAGGACAAAACTCGTAATCCAGAAATTATAAATAATTCATAAATCCTCAAGTTGATTATTACATATTCTGCAACAACGTGTAGTGAAGTGCATGTTTTGTGTGAGTGGTGCAATAGCACTCTGAAAGAATTGCCACCAGTTAACTACAAAGTTCAATTGTCATTATTTTAGCTTACATTTCCTTCACCTCTTGTGTTACTTTTGAGCAATCCCATCTATAGGTAAACCCTTGTGATTTCTCATTTGCTGTACTACTTGAGGCAAGAATAATTACAAGTGGTGACCCAAGGAGTGGACCTACAAGTCCAACATCCTTCTTCCATTCATTCAGTATTGTTTATAGTTTGTGCTCAGTGTGCAGATTTAGCATAACCAAATTCTTCATTTTTCATTCTTTATCTCGTTCAAGTTCTTTTACAAGTGGCATCTGAGCATGGTGCAGCTTGATTTCGTAAAGTTTGTTGCTATACAAACTTAGTTATTAACAGCATTGTTAAATAAACCATACCTTCATACCATATCACTGTAAGTTCATTGTGCTATTATCATTCCATCTAGGTCTCCCAAGTGATCTCTTTCCATCAGATTTTCTGCCCAATTATTCTGTAACTATTTCTCATTTTCAGTGTGCCTGTTACATATACTGAGCTTGTAATTATATGAACCCAAATTTTGGTAGTAATTTTCCCTCCATACTAGTCTTAATGGTTATGTTGCCATGACTCAATTCTTCTAGATTTAAGTAGTGATTTGTCTCTACTGTGGATGTAGCCTGTATGCTTCCATAACTTGATTGCCATGCAATGTACTGTGTGAAGATGAGATTGGAATTTAAGCTTCACTCCTTAAAAAAATATCTAAAGGAAGATCTGAAAATAGTCAAAGTCAAAGAATATTTTGATTTTAATTTCAGTGGCATCGAATGTTCATGGTGTTGACATGGGGGTTGACAGTGGCTGCCTTTGTTCTGATCTTCCTCGAATTGAAAGACTGGTCTGCCGAGGACAATCCACATGCAATTCTTGGATGTGCAACAACAGCACAAGCATTTGTGCAACCATTTGGAGCAGCTTTCCGACCACATCCCGATTCAAGACGACGACCCATCTTCAACTGGCTACATTGGCTTATTGGAAATGCGGCACATATTCTTGGCAGTAAGTACAAGACTGTTATTTAATCCAAAAATTAATGTTGTTAGTTGGTGCAATAATGAATCTTGGGTAACTTTGCATGTTGGATGGGATAATCAGGTGAAATGGGAATAATCTACATGATCGATTATTTGTCAAATGGTAAGATGATTTGTGAATGATAAATTGAAAACAATTTGGAAGGAAGTGATTATGGTCTGTTTTAAGGTACTAACTATCCTGACATTTGCCTGGAGGGACTAAGAAAAGTTATGAGAGACCTTAGAATGATGAATGTCTGATATGAGATATGAATGTGAAGAGGACAAATATTCAGTAATGATGTTTGGTAAAAATTTGAACATTATCAAGCTTTATTGGCTGTGCATCATGGCTGGCTGTTTGATACAGTACTATGCCATTAACCCCAGAGTTAAGTGTGGCCAGGAGCCCTGTAATATGGAACTCTAAATCCCATATGAAAAATGTTAATTGAGATAGAGATGCAAATGATATTCACAAGCATATTAATTGGCAGAGTATAAATATGATCTTATTCTGGTAAATATTTTTGTTCACTTCAAAAGATACTATTTTCTGCTTGTATTAGTAATATGTATGTATTTAATATTTCTTCTTTATTTTAATTTCTTTCTGCAACTGTTATGTGCTGAGTCCAAAATTACATTGAACTGAGTGTTCTGACATTATTTATAGCTTGATGCATCATTCCCCACTCTAAGCAAGGTCTCTCTTGGTCTCACATTTCAAGAAATTCTGGTTGTTTATCTAATAATTCGAGGTCAGAACTAACTCCCAGTTTTTTAAATTTCTAAAAAATGGACACATGCATTCATATCTGAAATTCACTCTTCCTGAGTATGAGTATAACCTATTCTATGTTTACTCTTGCTACAAAGTTAAATGAATATTTTAAGGTAAATTATAGGACACTTCAGTCGAAGTGGACAAATTCTGGACTTAGACATGTTATATGAAGACAGTATATAAAGATAAAAATTATGTTATAGTCCAAAGATAGCTGTCTTCTGGATTGTAGCACTGTGTAGTGTGGTAGAAGTTTGCCATTGTTTCAGGGGTCCTTGCTGCCTCCATCATCACCCCCCTGATGATAGAGGCAGCAAGGACCTCTGAAACAGTGGTAAGCTTTTACCAGACTACATGATGCTACAACCCATGAGATACCCATTTTCATACTCACTGCAGTGAGAACCTCAAATCGTACAAGTTGTAGTTCAGTTTGAGGTGAGTATATGTACAGTAACATATTAGTAATTACCTTGTACATATTTGTTTATTTGGATATAAATTAATTCAGTCAACTCTGGCTTTTAAAAGAAGTGAAATGGAAAGGGAACTTGTTACTCTGAATATTGTGGATAAATTAAAGGTTGCTGAGAAACTAGAGACTTATGCATCAGTAACTAAGATCATGGAAGAATTTGGCTTAACGAAAGTAGCTGTAAATACTCTACTGTTATGTTTTAATAGCAAGTCAAATGTATTTTTTCAGTTGTGACCATTTTCTTTGCCACAAAATTGACAAAAGCTGAGTTGCCTGACTGGATGGACTGGATTCTGGTTGGTTATGTGGCATTCCATGTTGCTGTTCATCTTATCTTATCGGTGAGCCTCATTTGTAATTGTGGAAGGAAGTTTGTGTGTTTAATGCATTTGGACTTACCTATAAATTGATAACAAACTCAACAGGAATTCAGTTTGTTTTATCACGTCTTTTATCATGCTATGTTTTCCTTATTTGTACCACAGGCCTCGAGTTCAATAAAGTGTTTCAAGCATACAACACAAATGCTGTTTTATCACCATATTTTGTGGGTGTTCATGTATATAAATAGTCAAGCTCATTTGTATGTTGATTGAAGCACACAAAGACTGTAAATGAAATATGGTCATTTTATTGCAGATTGCAAGCATTGCCAGTGAGAGAAACCATAGCAAGAGAGTGAATTCATTTCCTATGAAGGAGATGACCTCCAGTCGCAGTCCACTACACTCTTCTGAGAGGAAGCAGGATTCTCCTGTGAGTCTGCTTTTCTGCAGCCTTCTAATACTTTCAGAGCCAAGTACTACCTGGGATGATTTCAATATTCTTCTGCCACTCCCTGATTCTTATTTTACATTACCTCTCTGTCTCTTTATTCTTCTTTGTGGATAAGGCTCATAGCCATTTATTAAATTATATTTCTACATCCTTTTGATTTGAACCCAAATGAAACATTTGGCCATCTGTTGGCAGTGGTGGTCTTGTGGGTTGTATGTGCTGTAAACTTGTAGGTGAGTACCAACATTTTTAAGGAACACACTACTTTCATCTTGTTACCCATCTGTGAGTCCACCTGGTGTTACAACCCAGAAGACCACCATGAAGTTCTTAGTTGCTGTGAGAATCTCAAATCTCATTTGACAGTCTGTTTTTATCCACTGTGTTAAGGTGTTAACTGTAATTATTTATTGTTTTATTTACCTTGTAAATGTTGTTTCCTGTCATATATATCTTTTTTCTTAATTTTGTCTAAATCTAGTATATCCCTCAACACTTAAATCATTTTATCTATGCTGCCTTGATTTAATAATAGTTGCAATTCCATATAGAACTGTGACAACTATCATCACTATATAAAATATGAAATTTGCCTCTTTTCTTACTTGTCTGTTTATCATCCCTCATTTGTAGATATCAGTTCATTTTATTGTATACATCATAACTTCATCAGAATTGTCACATCTCCGGGAGTTAAAACATGAAGCTTGTTCTAAAATTAAATTAAATCAAATCATCATCATTATCATTATTATTATTTCATCTTCTGTTTTCATAATTGGCACTTTTATATCAAAGAAGTATCATGTAAATACACACCGCACAATAAAACCGCAATTTTTAATCACATCTACTTTTAACTTTAGCAAAGGAGAACCACTCAAATGAAACTGAGTACTCTTGATTACCATAACAAAGTGGTTAAATTCTATGTTCGAAATAGAGACTGTGTTTCATACTCCTAAGTGGAATTTATGGACTGAGTTTTATATGTACAAC